ATAGAAATTACAGGAACCGACGCCTGCTCCCGAGCCAAGTGAAGATGACAAAGGGGGGGAGTCGTCAGAGTCCTACCAGGTACCAAGATATTTTTAGGTACCGGAAGAAATGGACACGACCAAGTCCATTGCAGAAGAGCTCGAACGAGTGGCTTTGTTCGAGAAACTCCCGGAGAGAAAATTCCACTTGGGGACAGGCCTCAACCCCAAGCTCAGGTCAGGATTTATTGATTTTCTTAAAACTAATGTCGATTGTTTTGCATAGTCGCACGCGGATATGACATTTATCCCGGTAGAGGTAGACGTTCACAAGCTAATCCTGGACCCAAGTATCTCACTGGTAAGGCAGAAAAAGAGCTCGATAAGCGAGGTTAGAAACAGGTTTGTCAAAGAAGAGGTAACTCATTTACTTGATATCGTCTCAATCCGGGAGGTAAAGTATCCCGGCTGGCCAGCTAATGTAGTTGTTGTTTTGAAAAAGAATAATAACTTTTGAATGTGAATAAACTATAAGAACTTGAATAAGGTGTGCCCGAAAGACTCGTTCCCACTGCCAAACATCGACCAAATGATCGGCGCCACGGCCGAGCACGAGTTAATGAGTTTCCTTGATGCCTATTCCGGGTACAATCAAATTAAGATAAACTCAGAGGATCAGGAAAAACCTTCGTTCATAACTAACTTCGGCACATATTATTACAATATGATGCCCTTCGGGCTCAAAAATGTCGGAGCCACTTATTAGAGGCTCGTGAATAAGATGTTCGAAAAACAAATAGGTAAAATAATGGAAGTGTACATACATGATATGTTGGTCAATTGTTTGAATGCACGTGACCATTTAAAATGCCTCCAGGAAACATTCGACATCCTAAGAAAGCACCACATGAAGCTCAACCCCGAAAAATGTGTGTCCGCAGTTAGCTCCGATAAATTTTTGGGTTTCCTGGCAAGTTCTAGTCTGGGAAGACGAAGGTATGCAATCTCCTATATATTATGTTAGCAAAATTCTGACGGGAGCAAAAACTCGTTATCCGCACCTTGAAAAATTGGCCTTAGCTCTCATTGTCGCCTCTCGAAAACTAAGGCCTTATTTTCAGTGTCATCCTATAGCTGTGGTGACAACTTTTCCTTGCGAAATGCCCTTCACAAACCTTAGATGTCAGGTAGGTTGGCCAAAAGGGCAGTTGAAATCAGTGAATTTAATATTGAATATAAGACCAGGACTGCGATCAAATCACAAGTTTTGGCCGACTTCGTGGTCGATTTTAGTCTCGGGCTACTATTTCTGGCCACAAAAGAAGCGGTGATGGTGTCGGAAATGACATCAGGAGTTTGGACCTTATTCACGGACGGAGCTTCCAACATAAAAGGGTCCGGTCTTGGGGTGGTCTTAATCTCGCCCTCGGGAGAGATCCTAAGGCAGATCATAAAAACTGTTCCCTTGATTAATAATGAAACCAAGTATGAGGATTTGATTGCAGGACTTGGACTGGCCCGGGGGCTGGACTCCTAGGTTATTAAAATCAAATGTGATTCCCAACTAGTAGTAAATCAAGTATATGGAATCTTCGACACCAAGGAGGAACACATACAACAATATGTGATTAAAGTTCAAACTTTACTCGCACAGTTCAGGGAATGGTCGATCACCCACATCCCAAGAGAAGAAAATGCAAAAGTAGATGCATTGGCCAATTTGGGATCATCCACGGAAATAAAGGAATCAGATTTTGGTACTATCGTACAACTCATGCACTCGGTACTGGATGTGGACGGTTATTATGAAGTAAATACAACCAACTTAGTCTGGGACTGGAGGAATGAGATCATCGATTACCTTGAGCATGAAAAGCTGCCCGAAGATCTGAAGGCATCCCGGGCACTCCACACCAAAGCAGCTCGTTACAGCTTCTGGGGAGGGCAGTAATATAGAAGGTCGTTCCAATGCCCGTTGGCCCGATGTTTGGGAGCCTCGGGGGCAAACTACGTCACGAGAAGGTTCATGAAGGAATTTGCAGGAATCATTCCGGTACAAATTCTTTGGTGCTAAAATTAGTCAGAGCAGGATACTACTGGCCTCGGGTAGAACAAGACGCGGAGGCATTTGTTTAGAAATGCGACAAGTGTCAGTGTCATGCACCGTTTGTACACCAACCGACAGAACTGCTGCATTCGATACTATACCCATGGCCATTCATAAAATGGGGGATGGATATAGTCGGGTCGTTGCCACCGGCTCCAAGGAAGGTAAGATTTCTTTTAATTCTAACCGATTACTTCACTAAATGGGTTGAAGCAGGTCCTTAGTAGAAAATCAGTGAGTGCGAAGTGGTTGATTTCCTATGGGAAAATATAATTTGCCGGTTCGGAATGTCGAAGGAGATTGCCTGAAAAGTCACAGTCTCCAAGTTCACAAAATTTCTTGAAGACCTGAAAATTAAAAGAATCACATCTTCACCATACCACACAAGCGCAAATGGGTAGGTAGAATCAACCAATAAGGTGATTATTCAAAACCTCAAAAAGAGGTTGGAAGCAGCTAAAGGCAAGTGGCCCAAAGAGTTACCGGAAGTGCTATGAGCATACCCAACGACGACCAAATCGAGCACAGGGAAGATGCATTTTTCTCTCGTATATGGCACAAAAGCTCTTATCCCAATGAAAGTAGGAGAACCAACCCTGTGGTATATCCGGGCAGACGAGCAAGCAAATAATGAAGCATTGCTGGTCAAATTAGAGCTACTTGACGAGCGCATGGACTTGGCACACATAAGGATGGTGACCCACAAACAAAGAATGGAAAGATACTATAACCAGAGGGCAAATCACTGCTATTTTAAAGTGGGAGACTTGGTTTTGAGGAAAGCAACTCAGAACACCCGGGAGCTCAATGCGAGAAAGCTGGGTCTAATATGGGAAGGCCCCTATTGGGTTTCTGCTGTCACTGGGAAAGGGTCATATGAATTAGATAACCAAGATAGAGTTAAATTGCCGAGCAACTGGAATGTGACTCACTCAAAAGGTATTATTGGTTATGGGCACCGCTTGTACTAAAAATATACGCTGCACTCTTTTTCCCTTCGACTAGTTTTTGTCCCAATTGGTTTTTTCTGGAAAGGTTTTTAATGAGGCAGCAACAAAAAGCATACTACGAAGGAAACATCATCAGCAGAGATAAGACCTTTAAATGACAAGGCATTGAAACAATAAACCACTGCGGGACAGTAAGATAGTCTTTGGCTTGATGGCAAATACCTAATTGGAATAAAAACTTACCATCAGACCAAAGGCTATTCAATCGTTCACGAGTGCTCTTTCCTTCAAGCCACTAGGGTGTGGTTAGATAATCTTTTTTTTTTGGTAATTAACTTTATTTTGTATTAATCACCAAAGAGAAATTGTACAAAACCATAGTCAACCTAACTCAGTTGACTATCTCAAAGCTAAAAAACAAACAAAGCATACCTATTTACAAACAAAATTAATGAATCTACTCTATTCCTGGCCAAAACTGTTGTATGTAACTCTTAGCTCGAGTAGCTACTCTAACATTGCATATGTATGCTATCTCCCGCACAAGGACATCACTCCCTCGATACCTTTGCTCAAATATACGTGTGTTTCCTTCAATCTATATTGCATGCGAAATCTCATCATAGATCATTTTGAAGATGCTAGCCTTCTTGGATTTGCCTTTTCCCTGCTTGATGATCCACTGAAGATGTTGATCCCAGCAAGTGGTAGACATATGTGATCTTTGAACCCAAGTCATTACTTTCTTCCACAGTTCTCTCGTGTATGGGCATTTAACAAAGAGGTTTTCCCTTGATTCATCCTGATCTTGACACATAACACATTGAGGGGTAATAGTTATACCCCAGCTGGTTAGCCTATCTTTAGTTGGCAATCGACCATGGAGCAACAACCACATAGTGAAGACTACCTTTGGCCTAGCAGTATTTTGGAAGATCAGACATTTCCAGCTTACTCTTGGTAAATCTCCTAGGAGTTGCAGGTATATTTGTCTAATAATTCTTTTGCTGTTATCATTTATATTTTGTGTTTGCAGCAGAGTTGCTCTAGATCCAATTGTTCGTCTCACCATCCAACTGGCTTGTTGTGGTATTGGCATCTGTTGTAGCTGTTGTTGTTTGATATAATATGCATTGATCCACCTTATCCATAGCTTGTCTTGTTTGTGTGCTAAGTCTCAGCAAGTTTTGGCAATTCCTGCTTTGTTCCACAAAGAAATGTTAATGAGGTTAAGTCCACCAGCTGACTTGGGAATACAAATCTTTTCCCATGCTACTAAGGACTTCTTGGTTATTGAGTTAGTTTCAGACCAAATGTAACTTCTACAGAGTACCTCTATCATTTTCAGTACCTTAGCAGGTAAGATAAACAACTGAGCCTAGTATGCTTGTATGCCAAAGATTACAGACTGGACCAGCTGCACACGACCAACATAAGAAAGCTTTTTAGCAGTCTAGGAAGAAATCTTGGTTGTGATCTTTTCAATCAATGGTTGCCACTATATGAGAGTTATTTTCTTGGTAGACAAAGGAATGCCTAGGTACTTGAAGGGTAAGGATCCACTTTCAAATCCCAGGTGTGTAAATAAATGTAGCTTCACATCTTGCTTCACCCCACCAAAATATACTGAGCTTTTTCCTAGATAAGCCTATAAGCCTGATGCCTGAGAGAACTGAGAAAAGTATTTATAGAGTGTGGCCACCGAGGATAGATTACCCTTAGTAAACAACAGAAGATCATCAGCAAAACTCATATGAGTAATGCCCAGCTTCCTACATCTGGGATGATATTAGAAGTTAGGCTCCTTCTTAAGTTCGTGCAGTGATCTACTCAAGTAGTCCATCACTATCGCAAAAAGGAAAGGAAAGATAGGATCTCTTGTCGAAGACCCTTGGCAGCATTAAAAGGTTCTGTGGTTTCTCCATTCACAAGGATAGCATAGTTGACAGTCTTAATACATTCCATTATCCATCTAATAAACCTGTTAGGAATCTAAGCTCCTCCATCACCTGTTGTAAGAAGATCCATTCTACTAAGTCATAAGCTTTTTGGAGATCAATCTTTATCATACATCTAGGGGATATCTGGGCTCTGGTGTAAGATTTGACTAGCTCATGAGCTAGAATGACATTTTCAGCAATCTTTCTACCAGGAATGAAGCCTGCTTGAGCCTCACAAATGATGTAAGGCATGACTTTCTATAATCTAGAAGAAAAGATTTTAGAGATCATCTTGTATAGGATTGAACAGCATGCTATTGGTCTGTACTCTTTGACTGTGGTAGGTTTATTCACTTTAGGTACCAATGTAACAGTAGTGCAATTTATGGCCTTATAGAGCTTTCCAGTTGAGAAGAACTCTTTCACGGCATCTATGATCTGAATACTGATAATGTCCCAGGCTTTCTTGAAGAAAACTGCATTAAAGCCATCAATACCTGGAGCTTTATCATCACCAGTTGCTTTAGGGCTCTCAACAAACTCTTGATTTGTTACTTCTGCACAGAGATCAACCCTTTGTTGGTGAGATAGTGTAGGACCACTCTTCATGTGCATTCTGTTGCTGGCAGGCAAGGTAGTGGCAGCTGTTCCCATTCAGCTTTTACAGAAATAAAAAATCTCTCTTTTGATAGCATCAGGGTCAGTCAATTTGTCTCCTAGCAAAGTTGTAATTTCTATGATTTGCTTCTTTTGAGTCCTATCCTTCATCACTGTTGTGAAGTACTTAGAGTTTGAATCTCCAAGTTGTATCCATTTTGCTCTAGCTTTCTGCTGAAGGACACTCTCTTCAATTAAAGACCACTTCTCAAGGTTCAGTAGTATTTTTTTCTCCATATCAAGTAAAGCATCAGTGCAACCCTGTGAAATTTTCCCTTGGATGTCACTCAGCTCTATTCTAGCCTTCTCAATTTTCTGAGCAATGCCCCTGAATTTCTTAGAGTTTGGAGCTTTCAAAGCAGGTTTCCGATCTTTCAATCTTGCCTAAACTGATTTCAAAGTACCCTATGCACTATGTGAACTCCATATGCTAGCAACTATTTGAGAGAAGATATCATGTTCTGCCCATATGTTAAAGAATCTGAAAGGCACTCTACCTTTCCATGTGGAGGATGTCAGAGTTAATAGCATAGGAGCATGGTCTGAAATTTGAGGCAATCCATAGTTTGTCTCTACATGACCCCAGGAAATCATCCATTCATAATATCCAAACACTCTATCTAATCTACTGCTGACCCTATCAGCTCCATGCTTCTTGTTAGACCATGTATAGTAGTCACCTTTCCAAGGTAATTCTGTTAATGCACTATGTTGAAGGCAGGCAGCAAAGTCTAGGATTTTTTAGTAGCTTACTGGGTTACAATATAATTTGTCATTGGGGTATAACACTACATTAAAATCCCCAGCTATCATCCATGGGACTGCTATACCTGGTGAGAGTTACTGCATGGTATCCCAGAGGGCTCTTCTTTGTTCAAGCCCATCGTATCCATACACTACTGTGAGTAAGCAGTCAATATCACTTCTTCTACTTTTTACCTGACAGTGTATCATTTGAGCATCATATTTAATACCATTAATAATCAAGTTAGTGGTATCCCATAGTATCCAGATCCTTCCATTACTTGCATCTTTGTAGTTTGTCAGCACATTCCATCCAGGTGCAATAGCTTTTGGAATCCTTTGAGCATTCCATTCCTTCACAGTAGTTTCCATGAGTCCCACTAGCTTAATTTTATTTCCTCTAATATACTCTCTTACCTTCTTTTGTTTATACCTTTTATTTACACCCCTTATGTTCCAGAACAACGAATTCATCATAGTTACATGGTATTTCCACCTCTATCCCATGTGGTGTGTGATCCTCATGTCTACTTGTTGATAAAGCTTCAAATCTATTCTTCATTGGGATGGGGTCAAGGCTGGGAAGTTGATGAAGTTAAGTTTAGGGCTATTCTACATTGCTTTGCCTCTGTCATCCTGCTTCTCCTTTGCAACTACAGGTATTATTATGTTGTGTTGAGCATTATTCCCCCTTAGGATCAGGTAACCTTGTTATTCCTCTTTGATCTGCAACTTTAACATTATTACCCTCTAGTTGTTGTTCAACAGATGGAGTTTGCTTTGCATTCTGAGGTTCAGTTGCACCATGTATAGGCCCTTTGGTTCTCCATTCTTGTGTGATAACCTTGTTACCCCTTGCTCTCCTTAGCTGATTTGGCTGTTGCATAACAGGGAGTGTTTGGGTAGTGCATTTATGCCCCGCAACCAAACATTTGTCACAATAAGCAGGTTTCCAGTCATAAGTTACATACTGTTGAAACTTCTTTCCATGAGGATCCATAACCATGATTTCAGTGGGCAATTCTTTTGTAACATTAACTTCAATAAGCATTCGAGCATAGGATACTCGAGTCTGCTTAGTAGTACACTCATCAGCAAAGACAGGGGTCCCAATTACACTAGCAATCCTGCTTAAAGAGCCAACTCCTCAGCACGATATAGGCAATTTAGGAAACTTTACCCACAGTGGCATAACAACAGGGAATTCCTCTGTGAAATTAAAATCTGGAGTCCATGGTTTTAGAATGATGGGCTTATTAGCAATTGAGTAAGGGTCAGCACATAATTTCTCTCGAGTATCTGCTGCAGATTGAAATTTAATGATATAATAGCCTTCATCATGATAGAACAGTTCAGGTTCAGTAACATGTGCCCAATGTAACTTGATGCATCGCTTCATTGCATTATACCCTGGGCCATCACCTATGATATATGCTATCAATGCACATCTCCATTTGTTCTCTTCCTCTTTTACTTCTAGCTTATCTAATTGAACCACAGGTTGACCATCAACAATTTGTGGTAGAATATAGGATAGTGACATACCATTAGTGGCAAATCTATTCTTCTGAAATAGAGTTGTCCATGGAGCTTTAGGTCTAGTAGGCTCATCAACCATCGCCACCTCTTCCACTGTTGATTTCTCCGAGTTACCTTGGATACATACTTGATTTTGAGCTTGATTTACCAGATTTACTGTTCCATTGACTGGTACTGGCGGGGAAGGTGCTAATTGACCAATTGTCACTGGGGTGTTCAGATCTAGCCTCTTAGAGATACCAGAGTTCGTCGATGAAGAGCCAATTTCACATGTAGTGCCTCCAATTGTAGCTAGATTTACAATGGGGACGAACGTTGGTGTAGTTATCTCTTGCGTCGATTTCTCTGTCAGTGGTTGATTATGAGTTACCACCGAGCTTACAAAGGTAGTTAAAGGTTGCATCTTAGGTCTACCGCATCCTCTACCTCTCCCTTTCGCCATGGCTGACACAGGCGGGGTACGTTAATTAACGTGCGCCGAGAGCATTTAGATCATATTATACGATATCATGGTTAGATAATATTTTGCTCGATAGCAAAGTTCCTAAGGGGAAATGAAGCTTGTTATCGAACCATAGATTATCCAACCATTCACTAGTGTTTTTCCCTCAAAGGAGCAAGACTTCTAGTGTTCTAATTCGCATTCTTCGCATTCGAACAGGGGGCAATAGTATGAGAATACAGCAACATGATTGCCACAGAAATCTAGACTATGAAATCTGGGAACAAATATGCCTCATTAGGACTGAGGACTGCACGGCTAGCCCCGTAGAAACAAGTTGTACAGAATAGCCACATGTATTGGCAATTTCTTTTCTTTTAGCTCTCGACCGCTTATGTACTTTTGAAGATAGAAGGAATAAAATGAAGTCCTTTTCTCATCTTGTTTCTTGTCCAAACGATGAGTTGATTTTATCATTTGAAAGTTAACTAAGTACTTCAAATGCTAGTTCCTGAATGAAAAAGAGACGTCCTCTTCAATAGCACCATAAATATAAGAGGTCCTCTCTTATGGAACCCTCACAGTAAAGGATTGGTTCCGGAAGAGTTTATGCCCTGAACCGAAATGATATCGGGGGAAAATATACTCGAAGCCTTGCCTAATTTGACGCAAAAATGATAAACCTTGTGCAATGCTTAAACAAAAAGTACTTTTATTTATTAATCGTGCCAAGCAGCACAAGTACAAAAATACAAAAGGAAAACAACAAAGGAAAAAAAAGCGAAAAAGCTAAACTATGTGCCACCGGAACCCGGGAAAAGGGAAGCATTTACGCCCCCGGGAGAAGTAGGAGGATCTGCTATCGGTGCAACATCTTGGCCGTCATCATCATTCTCTTCAAGCTCCTCCCCCGTTCCCGAAGACTCGGAACCGGTACTAGAAGAGTCAGTTGCATCAGGCTGAGCTGGGAGGCGTTCTCGGGTAGTTAACTCCAGTGTTCGGGCTTTGGCGATCTCGTCGTCGATATCAATAACGCCCGCTTTGGCCTCTTCCAAGGTTTTTCTCCTCATGTGGTACATAGAATGTGTCTTTTTGATAATGAGGGAATCCCCTTGGAGTTGAAGTTTATCTTTAAGCCTATCAACCTCGGTCAGAAGGCCATCCCACTCAGATCTTGTGACGCTAAGGCTAAGATCGAGGCCACAAATATTGGTTATATGAACCTTATTATGTTCCATGATCCTCTTATACTTATCCTCCATCTGGGCATGCTCCTCGGTAGCAGCAACCTCTTCATCTTTGGAATCCAAGGATGCCTCCAAGTTATTCACTCGTTCAATGGAGTCAGACTCTCGTTCGGCAGCAACAAGCATGTCATCTTTTAATTCAGACCACTTACCCTTAGCTTCTTGGAATTGAACATTTAATTGAGAAGCTTCTTGACTAAGGGCCACTACCTCCTGCTCGCTAAGCTGCAGCCGAGCCTCAAGATCATTCGCCTCAGCGGTTTTCGCTTCTAGCACCGGGAGGCGCGTGGCAAGTTAATTCCTATCGGCTAACAGTTGATATCGCTCGGACTTGAGTCCCGCTTTGTTAAGGATCAATTCCTGAAGGTCCTTGGAAGCGAGGAAGCTGTCCTGTGAATCAAATATCGAAGTTAAAAACCTTGTTGTAACATACGAAGAAAAACAAGCAGTCAGAAGAACAAGTACAATATCGTTGTTGCATTGTGCATGGCGTTATTTATCATACATGATACACTCCCCCAAAAGAGAGTGTATTTTCTTCTTATCTTTCTCTAAATCCAGCGGCTTCAGATAATTGTAAAGCTCCACCGTCCTGGACAACAGATGACACTCCGTAGAGAGACACTTCTTCTCCTTAAGGATCTGCAAAAGGGGGCGAGTAGTTGTGGCGCAAATTCCCGTGGTCAGGGGATTGGGGAGGAGGTACATCCTCCTCTCGGGCATTTGCAATCGGTGGGGGAGATGTAGCATTTGCTGGTGATGAAGGTATGGCCGGTGTAGAGGGAAATGAAGCCGATGGTGATGTAGGTTGAGAAGCAGCTGCGATAGAGGCAATGCTATTTGTTGGTTGCTTACCAACCGAATGCGGAAGAGGCCCGGTGCTCGGCCTCATAGTACCGGTATCAGCAACTGGGACTGAAAGGGGAGAATCAACATTCTCCACTAAGTCAGATTCTCCTAGAGCGCTCAGGAATCGTCTTCGGTTTGGGTTCTAAGCTCTTTAGACTAAGCATTTTATTAAGCTG